GTTGGGGAGGGGCGAGCGCACCTGGCAGACAGCGGTGGACTGGCAAGCAATGGAGGATGAGGACTCGTCTGACGACGACGACGACGACGATGATGATGACGATGATGATGATGATGATGATGATGACGATGATAACGATGACGATGAAGATGACTCGTCTGATGATGTGTCGTCTGATGACGATGCAGGCCCCCATCAGGGCGGTGTTGCTGCTTCATCCGAGCAGGAGAGCGACGCCGGTGCGGAGGACCACGCGCCCGATGACGACTGGTGATGGAGATGTGATGGAGATGTGATGGAGATGTGATGGACGCTGCATCCTTACCCCGTAAAACATTGGTCCCCAACAATTTTGCCTCTAGGTAGACCCCACACTTGTTCCCCTCTCTCTCTGCGTCTGTGTGTGTGCGTGTGTCTTTCTCTCTCTCACACACACTTTCTCTCTCTCGCCTTTCTCTCTCACTTCTCTCGCTTTCTCTCTCTCTGTCTCTGTCTCTGTCTCTCTGTCCCTCCCTCTTCCTCTCTCTCTCTCTCTCTGTTGTCGTTTTGTTTCGATCGACAATGTCTTGTCTGTCTTGACATCCGCGCAGTCACCGCCATCGCCTTCCTGGTTGCTGGTGATGGCTGCGTGTGCATTGCGGCGCCCGGCATGCCCGCATGCGTTCTGAATGACCTTATAGGTACCGTGCGCGCGTGCGCGTGCACGCGAATGCTTGTTATTTCCCCCTTTATAATAAGTAACAGCGTGTATTAAGCGTACATTGCGTGTTCACGTGTGCCTATTTGCGTATTCGATGACGTGTGTCAATTCTGAAAGATCCCCCGAACCCCTCACCCGTGTTTCTTTCTATTCGCCTGTGTTGTTGTTGTTGTTGTTGTTGTTGTTGTCTGGTTTGTGTGTTTACGTCCTGGCACCGTTTATGCTTTGCTTGGACGTTTGCACACACGTGTTTGCGTGTGTATTTGCAGTTTGTGTCGTGTGCTGGCTGCTCGTTCGTGTTGACTGTTGCTGATGGTTGTTGCGACAACTATGAGAACCAATAGAGAGCTACCATATGTCAATACTAGTCAGGGACAACGCGAATATGTGTGTGTGTGTATGAGAGAGAGAGAGAGAGAGAGAGAGAGAGAGAGAGAGAGAGAGAGTGTGTGTGTGTGTGTGTGTGTGTGTGTGTGTGTGTGTGTGTGGTGCGCATTAAGCACGCGAGCAAAGTCAGACCCCTGCCATCAGGTTGTGGATCGTGGAAGGCGGAGTTTGAGACGTTGTGCGACCTCGTCGAACCAGGGCGGTAGCGGACACGACACATCCAACCGCGGTTTCAGGGCTGTAGTTGTGAGTGAGTGTGTGTTTGTGAGTGTGCGTGAGTGTGAGTGTGTGTGCTTGTGTATTGCGCTGGATCAGAGAATCAGGAAGAAGTACGCACTCTTTGAATTGTCGTCAATCTCTGCAAAGTGGTCCGCGTATCTGCAGCCGTTGGCGATGGCGCTCATGATGAGATGGAAGACACATCATCACACAGACACACACACACATACACACACAGATAGACACACACACACACAGACACACACACAGACACACAGACACACACACACACATACACAGACACACACACACGCAGACACACACGCACAGGGCACCTTGGGATGGTGATGCGTGCAGCGTGAAGGAACAGCGGGGGCGACCACAGCTCTTTCCTCTTCGTCTGAACACGTGTGCGTTTGATGTTGGAAACGGCAACATAAAGTATGTCAGAACAGCACACACATGCAGACGATATGCACACACAGACACACATACATACATACACACATACACTTACACGCACACGTACACAACAGTCAAACACACGCACACACACACACACACATCTGCATCAGCATGCGTTTGTGTGCTGACCTTGGATGGTGTGCGCATGGCGAGGGAGAGCCAGGGCGTGACACCTGGGCCGTATTTGTTGTCACCGACGATCGGGCAGTGAAGTGCTTGGGCGCAGTGGACGCGGAGCTGATGTCTGATGCGCGGAGATGGGGGGGGGGGAGATGAGGGGGATGAGGAATTGGTGATTGGACAGGCATCAAGCAAAGTAGATGGACACACACACACGCACACAGAGACATGGAGGCACGGAGGGACGGAGAAGCACAGACACAGAGACACACAGAGACACACAGAAACACACACACAGATATACAGACACACACACAGACACAGAAACACACAGAGACACACAGAAACACACAGAGGCACACAGACACAGACACACACACACACACACACTCTCTCTCTCTCTCGTACTTCCTGCCGGTGTGGGGTTTCAGGTCGACGAGTGCGATGTGGTGGTCGATGTTGTCGATGACACGATAGTTGGTGGCGGCATCCACAACATTCGTCAGCGCACTCCGCTCATCTGCGCTCATCTGTAAAGGACACGGACAATCGAGCGACGGGAAGGGTGATGGTGAGGTGATGGTGGTTGTGAGGGCACGTGAGACCCATGTGTTCGTGTCAAGTCAAGACAACCAAGTAACAACCCACGCGTTCATTTTCACTCACACACACGCGCACACACAAGTAGCGCACAGTTGGTGTGATGCATGCTGTTGCGCCTGTGTCTTTGTTTGTGCCGATGGGAAAGTCGAGCCGGCCTTTCTCAGGATAAGGTGCACCAAGGGTCATGGCCAGGTAGCGCTTGTCCACCTGCACGTGCCACCAAACACGAAATGAACGTGAGTATATGGCTGTTGTGGGTGATCCCGCTTGGCACCGCACGTATCACTCGCCAGGGTTTGAGTAGCCTGAACCCGAATCGGCAAGCAAAAAGCACACACAAGTACAACCACAGCCACACATAGCCGCACACACACACACACACATACACACATAATCACACACGCACGCATACACAGCCAACAACAGCACCACCAGCACACACGCACACACGACCCCGACGACGACGTTAACGCGGCAGTCAATTCACCACAGCGTGTTTGGTGTTGACCTGGTGTTCGGCAAAAAGGTTGTTGAGGATACGAGCAGCCCCGGCGTGTTTGGCAATCACGGTGACGCCTGTTGTGTCCTTGTCAAGGCGATGAACAATGCTGCAGTGCAGCCAGGGCGAACGGTGGAAAGAGTACACGACGTGAATCAGGGATGTGCAGACACAAGGAAGGAGGAGTGACAAGAGGGCAGAAAGAAAGAGAGAGTGTGTGAGAGAGAGAGAGAGAAAGAGAGAGAGAGAAAGTGTGTGTGTGTGTGTGTGTGTGCGTGTGTGTGAGTCAAGATGACATGAACAGAATCATCAGCACGAGCAGAGATGAATTTGTATGTGGAGAGAGAAAGAGACAAAAGCGGAGAAAGCGTAACATGGCACGACGGACACACACACACACACACACACACACACACACACACACAAGAACACACACGCACACACACACGCACACACACACGCAGACACACAAGAACACACACACGCACTCTTACCTTGGCGCAAAGTCATGATTTGGCCCCACAAGCTTTCTGCCACTGCTCCCTTTGGGTGGTAACTCCTGTGCTAGGTATGGCAGCGCCCTTGCAATGGATGGCTCGTTCGTCCCTCCTTGCACCACCAACTGCGGCCATTTGTTGATGCACAGCACATGTCGGTCCTGGATATGCGTGCGTGCGTGCGTGCGTGCGTGCGTGCGTGCGTGCGTGCGTGCGTGCGTGGGGGGGGGGAGGTGAAAGGGAGAAGCACTACTCGGTGCAAATACTTGCATTGACACACACACGTGTGGACACATACGTACACGCTTGTACATATCCACACGCACACACACACACACACACACACACACACACACACACACACACACACACACACACACACACGCACATACACCAACAAACACACACGCACACGCACATACAACAACAACAACAACAACAACCACACATCAACAACCATACACGCACCAACTACACATCCACACCAACACCAACCTCAAACAGGACTGCACGCCACAGCCTGCGAGCCAGCTGCCTCAGCTGCCTGTCACCCATTCTGATTCAGTGGAAGATATGGCTGATTTTCACAACTTTGCGTTTCCAAGCACACAAAGCAAACCGCACACCTGTTGCTGTTGTTGCTGTTGTCGTGTTGTGCCACCCCATATCTGCGTGTATCACACACACACACTCTCTCTCTCTCACACACACACTCCCTCTCTGTCTCTCTCTGTCTGTCTCTCTCTCTCTCTCTCTGTCTCTCTCTCTCTGTCTCTCTCTCTGTCTCTCTCTCTCTCTCTCTCTCTCTCTCTCTCGCTCGCTCTGCCTGACCGACTGGTCCACTTGGATCACAAGTACGATGGGGTCTCTACAGACGGAGACCATGATCCATGGTCTCATTCGTCGCATTGTGATGGCATGCGAGGACAAAGGTGTCCAGGTGTCAAACCCGTTGGCAGCCGCCGTGGTGAGTTTGCCTGGAAGTGCTTGTGATGGCATGGTGGGACGGTTATCACAGTGGTGGATGGTGGGACGGCCGTCAATGTGGTGGCTGGTGTGCGTTGTGGTATCTGTTGAAGCACTTGCTGTTCGTCTTACTCGGCTGTCTGCTGCACACATGTGTTGTATTTGTGAACACAAAACAGATGAAAGGCGTGGTGTTGGACCCTGACACTGGGCTCGATCCTGAGCGCGAGCTCTCCCGCGATGACATTGAGCGCATTGTTGATGTGAGTGGCATCACATGCGTGTTGTTGCTACTGCGCATCACAACACACTTCACGCCTGCATGCGCACCTGCATGCCTTCTGATGTGACTGCACACGCGTGACCTTGCACCCTCAACTCCTTGCCTGCGCCTCATTTCTTTTCGACCCATGTGCGACGTGTGCCACCAGAAATGCGTCGACTTGCTTGGGACCAATCCTGTTGCCGTGCAAACGGTGTCGGTGCAAGTGTTGTTTCAAGCACAGTACAAGCCCATCGGTGAGCAATGTGGACATTGCTTGAA